ACAACTAAAAACTGAATTAGAACTTTTTAATTACTAACAGAGGTTCTTTCATGGACAACTATTCTTGAATCTATTATAGCCAAGACTAGCTTTGTGCAGAGAAGAGGTAAGTTTGAGTATAGAAGAAGGCTTGCCCTCAGGAAGAATGTGTGGGAGAACCATATTTTGAGGCACCTTTGGGATTTTATTAGTCTTGTTATTGAGTATGCCATGAAAGCTGAGGAAAAAGAGCTTTGCCAAGTTGTGAGGAACCTTCTGCTCTCAAGCCGGGGTTCTGGCTAGAGCTTCTCAGGGAAGTGAGGCTGCAGTGCACACTGCTCTTGCCACCCCTGTCCCCATCACAGTCTTTGGAGGTGAGATGCTTCTAGAAAGCACCTGGGTTGGCAGTATAATAGCACAACCTTCCTCCTTTCCGCTGGTCATTTGAAAGTTCTCTGAATCTTGGCACAATGCTGTTAAGCTACAGATGATGGAGTCTCCCAGAGTAAACTAGACCTGAACTTTAAATATGAAATATTTAAAAAAGCATCTTAATGCTCCACATTTTTTCAGTCCTGTGCTATTCATTACTAAGAAACCATGACAAGCCAAACTCTGTTTTCCCTTTCCCATCACCTCTTAGGAATTCCTCCTCTCGAGTTCTTTAAGTTTGCTCTTTGGAGCTCCCGACAGCCACTTTGCCTTAGCTCTCGTCTTACATTAATGAGTTTCTTCCATAAGGCATCTGTTTATGATTGTAGGATCTTGATTATAGTCAGAAATGGAAAGAGTCAGACAACCCATTTTTAGGCAGATTGCTCACTGATGTGCTGGGTCAACATCTCTTGCGAGCAACTCTGAAAAAGAAAAATGTAATGATGGGTAGGTGTTGCCTGGTGTAGGGGCTGAGCATAGTAGACCTGCTATGCCTTAAAACATAGAAACATTGCTACTGCAAATTTTACCTTAGTAAATAAATAATACCTACTGATTCTATCCCAGCCCTTCACTTTTAAAAAATACTTTACACATATCAATTAATTACCACAGCACCTATGGTATGCATTAGTAAATAATATTCATAGGCAATAGTAAATATTCTTCACCCACTCATATGGATGTCAAATTTGTACTTGAGAGATTAGGCAAGTCATCTAAAGCCATTTAGATGCCCATGTCTGTCCAAGCATGGTTCAAAATTCAGTCATTGACAGTTGAGAGTCTGGCACTAGCAGGTCACCAGTGGCATCCCATCTGAAGCATGTTAACCACTGCAGCTCCGATATCTCACCAAGTGACTGCACTGGTATCAAGGAGTAAGGAAGAGCCTGAGATGAGACATTCCCCTCGATGAACCTCACTTGGGCTCACCTGATCAACTCAACAAGACAAACATCTAACAAGAAAAGAGAGATTAAAAATTGAAAAGCCACCAGATTCTGAAAAAAGTCAAAAATCAATCTCATACAGTTTGACTTAGTTAATGGGCTTTGGAAAACACTCTTCTGCCTCACAAGCTAATGGAGTTCTCTGAACTGATCTACAAACATGGAAAGGGATGCTCCAGCTGAAATAGTCTAACTGGATTTCCAGAAGGTTTCCTGTAAAGGCCTCCACCAAACATTTTTAAGGAGGCTAATTTTTCCATATGTGGAAGTCTTATCACCTGGATACATAACTGTCTAAAAGATTAGAGAAAAAGCATAGACGTAAATGGTCAGCTCCTGGAAGGAAAGGGATTCACCAGGAGAACATCACAGGAGGTACTTGCATCATTTGGTATAGTCAGAAGCAGCATGATTGGAGGGACAGGACACTAGGACAGTGAGGAGGAGGCCCAGATGTGAGGAAATGCAGAAGGAGCTCGCACACCTGAGTGACCAGGAAATAAAACAGCAGGTGAAATTCAAACATATTATGATCCAAAGCGAAAGTGAAGTAACATATCAAAATTATAGTCATAACTTCACAAACAAAAGAGTGAGTTCTGAGATGGCCATGTTCACTCAGAAATAACAAATGAGGTTATGATAAAGAATTCCTTAAAAATATTATCTCAGAACTCAGATCAAAATGCAGATAAAATAGAAGGGACAATTAAGAAAGAAACTGAGAAGAAATGTGAAAACACTCTTATGCCTCTGTATAAGGCATCTTGAATACTGTGTATAGTTCAGATCTCCATCTCTCAAAAAGGAATTACATTTTTAAAATGTGCAATACAAATAACCCTGCATAACATTCCCCCCTAAATGCTGGGTGACAGGAGGAATGTTCACAGGACAGAAAGTGGCCTGGATCTCCGTGGGGTGGGAGAGGGGACAACAGTTCGGTCACAAGTGTGGCAATGATGCAGAAGCTCACAACATGCCAGTTTGTAACCAATAACAGAAGGAGGAGGTGTCTAATACTCTGAAAAGCTCTGATAAATCCAAGCCTGATCCATGTGACAGAAAAAAAGTGCATCAGTGCTGTTCATATTGAAAATGCAGATTTTGCATATAAAAGGTTACTACTTAACCTTCGCAAGAGTGTGAGCTATAGTTCTAACTTTTCCTGCACATACCTTTTCTAGAATTTCATTAATAGCAAGGTAAAGCACTCTCTTGACATTGAGGTTTAAAAGCATCTTCCTTTGGATCTTAACTTCTCATATTGCTGGGATGTTGCTTTTGCATTAGCTCACATCAACTTAATTACATTTAAAGTAGCACTGTTATTCACATTTCTCTCCACTTTGAATTCTTATTTGAACAAGATTTTTTCAACACCATGCCAGGCATTAGCTCTGGATGGCTGATGCTTGTGAGGCCACAGTTTTGCACTGCACTGAAATAACCAAAATTTTCTTGTAATTACTAAGTCAGCGCTTACTGACCTCATGCCAAATCTTGAGAAGCTAAACACTGTGAGGCAGTTTCTCCACTGCTATTTATCAGCATAGCTTAACATATTTAACTTGACTTACAGTAGATGGAGATTGCACCCATCTACTTTATAATCGTCTGTGAATGAAGCTTTTATTAAGAACCTTTCCAACTTGCTGACAGCAATTGCTACACTCAGTACATTTATGATTCAGACCTCAAACGTCACCTGCTGATTCCTCCAGTCTTTTCAGAAGGAATCTTCCCAGGAGGGGCCTCTCCTTTTATTTGGATGTCTTCCTCTGGCTAACAAGGGAAGTCAGGAAGAATTCACTTACTAAATGGAAATCACATCCTGTCCTGGTCTCACTATATGCCTTAGAGAAGGTAAAATACATCGTATTTTGTAGTGTTTGTGTGTGCGTGCGTGTATACAGTGAATACATATAATGTTTATCTTCCGATCACACTAATCTTTTCATGTGCCACTGACTCTCGTTCACCTACCAACCCAGTTTCCCCATGTTGGATTGGCTCTTACATAACTCTTTTCCAACCAAGACCTATTCAGGAGACTAAATCCACTTGAGTTATCATACCACAGACACAGTCAAGAGGCCCTTGAAAGGCACTGTCAAGACAAACTTCTTGACAGGATTCAAGATTTCTGCTAAAGAGATCGTAGGAGGTCACATTGATTTTGAAAACCTTTGTGACTGTCTGACTAAGCAGTTTTCCTGTTAGTAGAATTACACGTGAATGTGAAATCACCCAGGTGTGATGGCTGCAGAACTTCCTGGTTTCTGTCTAATACATGGTACTGTTTAGCAAACGTTGCTCCTGTTTAAGCTATTAAAATGAAAGGAATGGCTGTATAATCAATCAATCAATCATCACTTGACAAGGATGGAAATATTATACCATTATTTATTTATTTATTGGTCACTCATGGTATGATGAGCATAATTCAGGAAAAAAAAGTGCTGGAAGTGCTGCAATTGTTACTACCAAATCCTGTTTTTATGTCTCTTGGTAGATGACTACGACAATTTATAAATATAATTATAGTCCATTTAAATGGACCTTGCTAGAATTTTGCAAGATGTTAATTCAAAATCATTCTGATTTTTATCTTGTTGGAGTAAAATCCCCAAAAGGTTTTTGAGGATTTCCTGTTGTACTGCACTATATCTCCATTTAAGAAACTTTTGAATCCTAATTTCGTTTTGGTGGGATATCTTAAAAATCCAGAGATACTGTTTCTACTTCCTGCCAGTGTCCCACATTATCACATATTTGCATAAAAGCAGGCATGATTATAGATTACTGACAGATTACTATTCATTAAGAATACCTTATTGTTACCTTCTATTTAGCATTCATTTTTCTGTCGTGTTATGATATACTTTGATTTGACGTCCAAACACATCAGGGAAAAACTTTTCCCTTTGTTCAAAGGTGCAGTCTAATATGAGATGAGAGGAGATTTAAAAGGAAAAGGACAAGAAATGTGAGAATAGAGGCTCATCTAGAGTCACAGATCAATTGCTGTGCAATTTAACATACAACATGATTAAAAAGATATTTTTTAAATTAAATAATAAACAATCTCCAGCAGTGAAAAACCCAGCCACCTTTCTTCAGTTGTTTTCTGATTTGGCGTCCATAAAATCACAATTAGAACTTAAGTTATTTTTTCCAGTCCATAAAATCTGCACCCCCCTTTTTTTTTTCTACACAAGATTAAACATATTTCAACTGTATTTGTTTTCATGAGCCAGTGGATCCTGTTGATAGAACTGCATGCCAGGACTCCTTTTCAAGCAGGACAGTGTGTGTGCCAAGATGTACAAAAAAAAAAGAGAAACATGTGGTGGAGTAAAGCTGATCAACATAACTGTAAAATCATTTGTCATCTGCTTACTAGCTTTATTCCCCTAAACTATGAGCTGTGAAACACGCAAACCATAATGTTTAGAAAATCTAAAGGTATATAATCATTCCCTTACTCTCCTACAAATCATTCACTACCTTACGATACTTTCCATCAGTCTAAATATTTTAGTATTTTCTTTTTTTTAATAAGTCTTTATGACAAAGTGCACAGTGTTTTTCTTTACATATGTCTTCTTTTGTAGAGCTTTCTCAACAGACTTAACTGAGTTCAGCAGAACTGATGATTTCTTGATCTTGGTTGCCGTCTTTGACGAGTACCAAATAATTTAAGCCTTCTTGATTCTTTGTTTCCATTAATGTGGCTGAGAGAATACTGTCCGAATCTGCACACAGAACATCGCTATCTGCATTTAAAACAAAAACAGCCCAGTGATACACATGCAGTATTAGAAAGCAAAGGAAGTCAGACAGTTGGTGGAGAAAGTTTGTCTAGTGACCATATAAGGAGTGACTGATGATTCAAATTTTTTTTCTGCTACAGCCTGCGTGGATTATACCTTTACCCGAATCACTTAGGGATGGTTGCTCATCACCACTCATACCCACCACAGGTAGTAAAACCATTATGAATATATGATTTACTTCTGGTAGTAAGGATGCCCTACATACAATCAATGTGATTTTAACCTGTACCATAATATAACATAATATAATATTAAAGTGTCTTGTAATACAGGCTGTTTTCTACCTACCAAATTATAATAAGTTTTCTTTCTAGAAGATTTACAGTATTCTGTCTATCTAGAAGCTTAAACTTGAAAATCCATCATGTTTTTCCCAGTTCTAACAATTTTTATTTGCTGAATCTATAGCAAGGAGTATATCTCTTTTTTTTTAATGCAAAAATAATTAACTAAAGGCTCAAGTTATTATTGTTGCTATTTCATATATTTATTCTTAGCAACACATACCTTTTTTTTATTACAGTCCCTCCTTATTTTACTTCACAACTGGAAAATGAAGCATGTGACATGCAGGGTCATCTACTCGTAAGAATAACAAGCATTGTACAGTTGCACCAGGCAACATACAGTTTATTATGTCACTATAATCACTGCCTCCCCCTTCCCAAGCAAGGTATGAAGTCAGAAGTCTGTTCCACATGCTAGAGTCAATTAGGAAAGATTATCAGGAAAAATATGAAAGAGAATTTTAATTTAAGAAGGCTATTACCGAGATGAGGATTGGGATACAGAACAGACTGTATTCACATACCGCAGTGACTGACAGCTACAAAAAATCATTTGATACTCACTTTGTCAGTTCAGGACTATTATGGCAATATTTAGTAATTCAATCCTCAGCAAGCCTTCACCAACCAGCTTTTCTTTGTACTTGGTTTTTGTTTAATAAACCTTTTAATGAAAACCCTCAGGGGCAAGCTGCTTTGGAAAAAGGCATGTTGGCAAATGCTGAAGGGCAAGTTTGTAGCAAACTCTTAAGAGAGAAACCTTAAAATAAGGACTCAAGTAAAACCGGGTATTTACAGACCAGACATATGCCGGCTGACCTGCCTAAGTATAGAACACTAGAGGAGCATTCAGATTTGTTTCCTGTATAAGTATCTGGAACTGATGAGGTGATGTTTACACAAATGTGAGCATGAGGTCATTGAGATATTTTTACCAGATATATAGATACATTACTAATTCTTTCCCCAACAGGTCTGAAAAACTACAGAATATACAAAATATTATAATCCTCTTTCAGCCTGCATGCCATTGCATTTCTCATTATATAGAAAAAAAGAAAGAAAAAAAAAGGTAAAAATCAAACAACTTGCCTTGGTTTTTGCTTTTTGAACTTTGCAGACAAAATAAGCAAGAAAGACTTTCCAGAATATGCATTTCAGTATTCAAACACAGGAAGAACATAAAGAGGGTATCCTTTCTCCTGCGATATGACACAGATAAGCTACTTTCACAATGAGATTTTGGTTGCATATGCCCTTTCCTTCACTGCCATGTCTCTTCCTGTTAGCAGAGCATTCGGCACCCAGGAAAGCTTAGTGCTACACAAACTGCTGTACAAGCCGAAAAGTCTGTGCAAATACGTCAAATTATGGAATGCAAGGCTTGCCTCTCATGCAAGTCAGCAGAGCAAGCAAATCATTTTTGTTCACTTATATGTTGTATGTGTTGTATGGAGAAGAAGACACTGAAAATGAGCAATTGAGAGAAAAAAAAACAGTATGGTGCTGAATTTTCCCAAACACATGAGAAACAGAAGCAACACCAACACTAGGAAGCCATAAACCATGACCAGCAATGGAGAGAAGTATGAATAATCTTAAAAATCCTTTGCAAAAAAACATAAGAATTTAAAGGAAGGTAGAAAGAAGCTGGCGTGGGGAGGCAGGTCAGCATATTCATGAGATATCATTATTTTCTTTTCAGTTTTAACATTGCTAAAATTAGTTGATTGATGTATAGTCATGCTGGGTTATACGTGATTAAATGCAGGATAAACCATGTGATGTGATCCCCTCAGATTTCACAAGCGAAGCCTGGCTGAGCCAACAAAACGCCCTGAGAGAAGGCCTCCAAGGAACACCTTCATGGAATCTGAAGTCGTGCTGGGAAGTCAACTCCAAACGCTTAAATCCTGCCGGGTTATCTACACTGCAGACTGCTGCATAGTGTAGAGTTACCCATGTTAGCTTTAAACAACCTTCTCCAGGCCAAGCAGCAGGCCAAGTTGAGGTCTACAGAAGGTAAGTATACTGAGAAGAAGGTTCCCCACTCTACTCTGTGCTCTCACAGGTAGGTTCCTTCCAAAAACCCGAATGACATGTTCAAAGCTCTGCACTATAGTTGCATAGACACCTGTCTCAGGTGCTAATTGCATATGATCTTGACCCTTCCGGACGCTTTCCCTTTAAGCACAACATCCTAGCCAAGTTGTAGGGAAATTAAATACAACACACATTCTTCAGAGGTGGGCAACAACCTTGCTCCAAAGAACACCATACCAAGTGGTCCAAGAAACTATGACTTCCTGGCTCATGCTAGAGAGAGATGGAGGACTTTTTTGCTTAATCTCCTCCAAGGAGACTGGTGCTGATCTAGAAAATATGTATTTCCCACTTTAAATCTCAGCCTCTTGCTTGGCTGTACCAAGCTAGCATGTGGCGCCAACCAGGCCTCTCAGACGTGTCATGGATACCACCTCAGGACAGGAGAAAAGCAATCACGGAGTGTATTTCAGTACCTGCTTGGTAGGCTGTGTGTACTTACTAAATGTTGGGAACCCTTCTGCAGAAGGGTACAAATCTTTATCTTTAAGATGTCTGGCTAAGCAGATGGTTTGGAGAGAGTTTTATTTCAGAAGATGACAACATATCAGAAAAAAAAATGTCAGTACAAACACTGATTGATAGATCTACAGATACTAACAAAGAGATCTAGGGATACTAACCTTCTACTAAAACTATTTTGGAGCCAGGTCCTCAGCTAGTGCGAATTAATATAGCTCCATAGAAACCAGTGGGACTCCAGTGATTTACACTAGCTAGGTATTTACTCTGAGATGTTAATAATTCTAGGAAATACATTTGCATACATTTCCTAGCAGCTTTGATAGGAGAAGGATCACCTATTTCAGAAGTGCAGTCACATTTACTTTTTTTTCCAAATAAAATCCTCTTTTTTTTTCTCATACATGTTAGGTTCTGCCCTTTTTCTCTTCCATACACTTCATGTGCTAGTGAACAAGAGACTTGTTGGTTTATGGGAATGGCAAAAAGATGTACCCCATAGTGAACATGTTCAAAACAAATGCTTAAATACTTATCTTTGTTTAATAAATATAAAAGGTGAAAAAAAATTGATTATCAAACCCTGACTTCTTCAGCTCAGCTATGTCAGTCAGAGCAAGGAGACAACTCTATGGATGGAGTATTTTATTGAAACCTGTTGACCACCTGGAACTCTAAGTGCTGTGTTTGGGCTTTTGCAAGCTTCCAGTAAGAATATAATTAGAACAAATATATATCCGTTTTAATACTTCATTCTGTATTACATATCAATTGGGATATATCCGTCTTTCCTGTCTAATGAAGCATATCATCCCACATAGCTTGAGAGTGACTCACTAGGCTTTGCCATTCTGTCAGGTGCTAATGATACTAAAAGTAAGGATTTTTCTCATCTTGTATTCTCACAGCACTAAGCTGACTATTTTTTATTTATTTTAATAGATTTTCCAAAGATAAATTTGTGGATAGAAACCTGTGTGCAAGATGCTGTCTCGAGGAATAAGCCATAAGGAATAAGATATAAGCCTGCTAGAGTAATTTATTATCACTTATTATATATTTTATTTCAAAGCCCCAAAACTTGCTTTACCTCAAAGCACAGAAGATCCATTCCACATTTATGGTTATGTAATATGGCTTTATAAAAAAAGAAAGCATTACCATTCTCCAGGGCAGAGATCAGGATTCATTTTGCCTAGTTTTAATTATTTAGACCTTATACGTCCAGTTTAAGCTCTTTGCTTAGGTTCACTCAATAGAGAGAAAGGAGGGATAACTCATGTTGTGAAGATGCTTATTTTACACACTTACCTTCAACAATATTTACTAGCACAGACTAGCACACTCTAGTCAGAGTGTGTCCTCCACATACACATGTAGTACACCAATATTAGATGTTGTTATTATAGCATTGCCTTGTATTACCGAGTTTTTCCTCAATCTATAACAAAGTGCTACGCTCCTTTTCTAGCAACATCACACTGATCATATGTGCTCTCAGGAAGTAAACAATATTTGTCTAGGGGACAAATAAGAAATTGTCACTGCAACAAGTGCCCCGTTGCCTGCAGTGCTGTAGCCCCTCGCTGTTTTGGAAGAAGCCTTTTTGCTGACCTCTGCTGGCTTTGGGTCAGTCCCTTGCTAAGGAAATGGGGAAGAGGATTACTGACCTGCAGAAAATACAAAGGTGACTAGATACAGGGTTTAAGAACAGTCTCTTATCTGCATATCTGCTTTAGAGAAGTTTCCGTTTGTCCAGGTGATTACTTCAAATCCAGAGACGTGTGCAGAATAGTTTTTAAAAAGTAACCGGTTTTAGGAAAATAAACTGATGACACTTATGTGGGGAACAGAAAACAAGTACTATTCAGCCAGCAAAGACAGCAGAAATGTAGGTAAATGTGAAATCACTAAACCCAGATTTTAATACCAAATCCCCCTCAACACAAAGTTTTGCACCAAGATTTTCAAGGATGTAATGACTTTTTACTGAGCACTTTACTTGCTGAAAAAAAGTAAATACTCTAAATGACTGGCTTTGGAAAGAAAAGCAAAACAAGGAGAAATTACTGAAGTCTGTTTTGTCTT